GGCGCCTGCGCATTGAGCGACAGGGAGGGGGTCCCGCGGCAACGGGAGGCGGGGGCCGGAGCGGCAGGGCCGCCCTCGGCGCGCTGGGAAGGGGGCCCCTGGGTGCCCGCATCTCCACAGTGTGGTAAAGAAGCAGTCTCGGGAACTGTGGAAAGCATTAATCCTGTTTTCTTACGGATTTACAAGCACTTCGGCCTATTCCAACACAGGCCGCCGCCATGTCCTCCCCCCCCCCCATCCAGCCGTGGCTTTTCAGCATCCCGCAGCGTAAACTTAGTATTGCCTCTGCCAGGCCGTCAGCCCCTCGGCCCAGCTGCACTGTGTCCATGCTATTAAAATCTCTTGGCCTCCAAAACGGGTGGCAGCCTCTAGGGTGCCTTCTGGGAGTTGTCCCTGCCCTGCCCTGTGTGCAAGGAGAAGAGTAGCTGTGGAGCACCAAATCCATACCTGGAGTGCTGGAAACGTTTTAACAGAAGTGATTGTGCTGGTTTATTATGTATGTAGCTTGTATATTAGCTGTGAAATAGTGGGGTTTGTAATATGCATCACTGACGCAGTTCCTTCCTTAACAATTTTTATATCTGAAGAAAGCAGCAATAAGAAGCAGCAGGGGAAGCATCAAGGAAAAGGTGGTGGTGCAGAAGTCACTCAAAAGTAAGAGATAAAAGAGAGCCAAGTCAATAGCAGAGAAAAGATATTTTTGTGTGTCTTTCCCTTGGTCTCTTTATCAGTGGTGCACAAGACAGGCCAGGCTGCGATTCAAGGGCAGGCAGCAGGATCTGAGAGATTTGTAAGCAGAAGTCAAGCAGAGAGAAATGCAGCCAAACTGTCTGTCTGAGCACGGTGTGGGAGAGAGAAGAAAGCCAGCCGGTGAGAGATAAAGAATGAGTCTGATGAGCTTAGAAAGGAAAATAATAGATTGAAGGCCAAGTGGGGCTGAAAGAGCTGGATCTGAAAGACAGCAAGCTGCTAATGTGACTGCTGACTCAGATGCAGGTGCTGGCACCGAAGCTCTCTGAGTTCTCCTGCTGTGATATCCAAGCACAGTTTAGCAGGTTTCCTGAACTTAGCAAGGGCTAGGTCCTTCCTCAGAGAAGGAAACTGGCTGCCCTGGGTCATCCTCTAGGAGAGTGACAGCAGCTTTCTAATGAGGCTGTGTGTCAGCATGCCCCTGGGTGCAGCTTGCAATGGGGCAGGAGTGCTGCTATCCCATTCTTTGTGTGGAGAAGCAGGAGTGGATAACTGAGGCCAGGGGATTTATCCATGGTCACAAAAATAGGATCTTAGGCTCTAGGTATGAGCAGGGACAGGACTGAAAAACTGTAGTGCCAGCACATTCGTCCTGGGTGCTTTAAGGGAAGGGAAGATTAAGGAAAGCTATAGCAGAAGCTGGTACTTTCTTAGGAATAGTGACAATAAAGCAGGATAGTGGAGAATTGGGGAATAAGGAATTGAAGTGGAGCTCAGAACATTTGGATTCAGCATCATCTCTAACATCAACTTCTGTATAAGCAAGTCCAACTTGCCAAGGTTAAGACAAGCCTCTATAGCCTCCTGCACCTCTATTCTCCTTGTGAAAGGGAAAAGGAAGTCTTTATCAAGAATTCCTTATCTCTTATCTATTTAAAGCTTATGTATTTTAGAGGAAGGACTGTGCTATTATGATTATATATGCTACTGTAATACGCAGCAATAAAAAAGTCTGACTGGTGAATCCACACGCAAGGAGAGCGGATGGCATTTCAATACGCTCCATCTGTGGTCTGGGGGATCCAAGGACGGCTTCTCTTCAAAAACACTCAGAAGCCCAGGTTTGTTGTCAGTAGGCTGAAATTTGCTACCTGAGTATCTACACATCGAGCGAGATATTTAGGGATTCACAGATCAGACTGCTCTCCCACACCACTTTCTACACTGCTTTGCTATCACATCCAGCATTTGTCCTACCAACCAACACACACCTTGATGGGTTTTCTTCCTTTTTCACTCCATCTATTGGCTCTCAATGGTCAAATACTCGACACAGGTGTGTTAGGAAGGATACTGTTAAAAATTAGTGTAGTGCTTGTCACTTCATAGCAAGAGGGACTGCTTTGGACTAAAAATAGGTCTTACCTTCAGGCAGAACAAAGCGAAGAACTACAGGATGAAGGATAAGCCATCAGCA